TCAAAAAATTCAAATTTATACCCGTTAGAACTCGTCACCCCAATGTGACGAGTTCTATTAGTATTAAAATAATTTTCTAAGCAATGTTTTTAACATTTTAAAAAAAATTATTTTTTGACTAGTCCCGTACAATATATTAAATATATTCGAGTTGTGAGACCCACGTGACACGGCCCATTAAAAAAATATATCTCATGGAACTCGTCATGCCGGCGTGACAAGTTTCATGTATACTGTAGCATTTGCCGTAGATCCTAAAATAAAATCCAAGTTGTCCTATTGGGCTAAATAATCGGCCCGCTTGGATTATTTCCCTAATTCTACCGAATTCCTCAGCTTAATTGTCCATATTTTTGTTCTGATCTGAAGTCTTCCATCGCCATTGCAAGCAAAGCTGACATCTGCTAGGCATGATCAGTTGACAGACGCTTTCAGTTTATTTAAAGGAAAGTAAATTTCTTAAGTAAAGAGCCTTGCAAAGGAAAGTTGTCGAGTGTTTATTAAGAGCTTTGAATTTCCTTGCACCTGCTATTTCAGTCTTCCAGCAGCAAGTCACCTTTAGAAAACTTTTTTTTTTTGGATGTCCATCTAATTTATTGGTTTAGTAAAGAAATATATTTTATTCTTTTTAGTTAAGCTGGAGCTCTTATGTATCATGTCCGAGTGGAGACAATAGTCAAAATATGTGATAAGCTGGAGCTCTTATGTATCATGTCCGAGTGGAGACAATAGTCAAAATATTTGGTGATGTTATTGCTCAAAAAACATTTGTGTTGGCTTATTCAATATTTTACCACCCCGAAGAGGCCTCCTGGCCTGTTTTATTGTAATATAGCCAAGAAGCCTACTAATGAGTATGGTTGTAGGATTTGTTTTAATTTGTAAATATACTGAATTAGTAAGGGATTTCATAATCTATGATCTTAGGGATCAACGTGCCAATCCGCAAAGAATTGAGCGATACTAATTCATCTCGAATGGGGCAGAGTTCCCTTTCTACACTCGAATTATTTCTCAAGGTTTTATAGGAGACCCTCTGAGATTTTGACAATAAGATGCCATTATGTCAAGTGTAGCAAGCTGTTGCTGTAAATTCATAATAACTGGTAAAAGATTTAAAATTCACGTGAACCTATGGCATTAACAACCTACTTCTACTCTCTACAAGTTTTAACCCTCAACATGTGTGGTAGCCATGCGCACAGATTGACCCAATTCTGAACCCCCCCCCCCCAAAAAAAAAAAAACCCTAAAAATCTCACATATGAAATAATCATTAAGAAAACAATAAAAAGGGAAAGGATCGGATTTGCTCCAATATTGCAAATAAAAGAACAAAATATGAGGCTGTAATCCAAGAAAGCTATCTCCAACAAATACAATCACAGGCAAACAACTATTTTGTGATTGCCGAGTCACTCATTGCTTACCCAACTCACCAGAACTCCCAAGTTTGGGTAAAACTGGAATTTTTTCCTTTTTCAGATCCATAAACTCGTTTTTTCAGACTCCGTTCGAGTTCAGATCAAAGCGAAAATCGTTTCCGAGTTGTGACGACGTAGAATAGAGTTATTTCCCCCCAAGAATTAGGATTTTTTTTCAAGTGTAGGGTTCGGGTATGTCGGCTGTGCGAAGATGGAGCGAGGGAATGTCATCGGATAATGTTAAGGGTTTGATTTTGGCTATTTCTTCAAGTTTATTTATTGGGGCAAGTTTAATCGTTTAGAAAAAAGTCGGTGCTTCTGGCGTCAGGGTAGGTACTGTAATTTATCAAAAATTTACTTCTTTTTTGATGATTTGATTTCGGATTTCGATTTTTCTTCTTTAATTGGAAATTTGCAATTAGGTTTTTAAATAACTTGAAGTGTTGTGGGATTCTGTGAATAATTGTTTTCGCAATTTAGAAAACGAATTTGAGTGAAGTGTTAGTGATGAATATTTATTTGACCTTTGAATTTAATTCATCAATGCGGGAATTAATCGATTTGAACTCTTGTCAGTTTAGCATGTAAGCTTGTATTTAGTAAATTAGTCTTCATGTTTTTCTTTTTCTTCATAAAATTATTCATTTCTGTCTATCAAATTGCACTGGCCTTTTCATATGCATCCTTTTGATCGTGGGTTTCAGTGTGATCTTTGATTGTATGTATCTTCTAACTTATTCGTTATGAATTGTTTACGAAATTCCTCAATCTGTCCAAGTTTCTGTATGCTGAAGTTTTGCATAATGTGGGACAGAAAGATACAATATATCTTTATTGAATGAAATAGACGAAAATGATATGTTTTTTATTTTTAAAATTCCAGATGATCTTTGGTATTGCATGTGTGTTTTGTTGCTATTGGACAGAGTTTTTTCTATTCACTATAATTCTGTGTTTATTGCATAAAATTTTCTGCTGCATTTGCAATTAGTTATGTATTTTATAATTTTTGTTTTATCTCAATTATTTAAAGAACGTTTGAATGTCTTTGTTATCAATATAATTTAGTGATTCTTCACCATTTCGTTATCAATATAATTTTTGAGGAGTTTTTATTGTTCTTATGCATGATGAGTCAAAATGACATTAGTTTTTCTGGTTCTTACACGGGAGTTGGAGGATATTCATACTTGCTTGAGCCACTTTGGTGGGCTGGCATGACAACAAATTAGTTTTATGGGTTTCTCATTGATAATTAACTCTAACTAATGGATTTTTTTTTCTTCCTATTTGGAGCCTATATCGTCTTTTTCCTTTTCTCATTCTTAACTTATTTTCCAAATATTATCCCTAAAAGCAGATGTTATAAAAGCTATGTTACACCAATTAACAATGTGGTATTCTTGTCAATAATATATCTTGCATCCATGATAAGATTTTCTTAGTTACATTGCATGCTTACACCTCAATGTTCAGGAAGTTATCCGCACATGATGTAATTGGCCGCTTGATGATACAATGTGCTCTGCAACCTGGCATCGCACTGGTTACTCTCTCTTTAAGTTGCACCTTCAAATTACATGAAGTACATTGATGTTGGGGACTTTTTCTTATTTATTTTTTTGGCACACGTGATCTTTTATCTCCTTTTTGCAGGTTAGACCTAAATTCTAACCCATTACAATGACCCATACATTACGAACCCGAAGCTCAACAACACAATCACAAATTTTTGGTAACCCTAGCTTTAGCCATCGCCTTGTTTTGGAGGCTTCTCATATTCCAACAGCTAAGATCCCACGTGAGAAGCCCCATCATCTCGTGGCATCCCCTCCACCATGCCACCACATCAGCAGCAACATTCGTGTGGTCCCTTTCACCCGAAGACACACAGAATGGTCCCCCATCCACGCGAAGCATCGAGCGATGGTCCCGAGCTTCCCCAACAGCTCTTGTGGTTCCTTCGACCACGCACTATGGTCCCAGCCCAGCTCCCTTTGCCAAGACAGCCTCCACAGTGGCCCTCGAATTCCTCATCAGCAATCACATGCAGAATACACAAAAGAAAAGAAAATTAGAGATTTTTTTCTTTCGACTGTACCAGAGGGAAATAAAACCCCAAAAAACAAACTTTGTAAGGGCTCCCATTTTTCTCTCTCAAAGAAAAGCATTGTAACAGGGGATCTTCTCCTATTCGAAAAAACAAAAGCAATAACACGACAAGAGCAGTTTCCAAGGTTTCTTTTCCATCTTATTTTCTAAGGTTTTTTTTAAACAAAAAAATAGAGTAAAAAGGGAGGTCAGTGAGTTTACCTTATTTTGTTTGGGTCCTCACTGGAGTCGTGGCCTTCGCGAGTTAGAGAATCAAAGCTTCATCAGTCGGGTTCGTCTTGGGGGTTTTGGTTTTTAGCGCTCGGTTGGGGTTTAGATGAGGAAAAGGGGTAGTTTCGCTTGGTCCTAGGTTGGGTTTAGGTTCGATGGCCACCGCTGGTGGTGGCCGATGGGAGGTGACAGATGCCGTTTTTGCGGAAGTTGTGGTTGTTTTGGAGTTTGGGTCGAGAGGAAAAGAAAGGGTTGAGAAAAAGGGAATAGAGGTGCTGAGAAAATTAATTTGACAAAAAAAAAAATAAATAAAATTGAGTAATTGTTGAAGTATGTTCAGTAATTACCAATGAAATTATTCAAATATTGCTATCTGTAAATAACGTGCCCATTTTAGTTTGGTCACACATCTTGGTTGGACTAAATGATGAAACTATTTTCCAGTTTTTTTTTTTCAAATTAATTCTTATCAATTTTATTTATTTTTTTGCCAAATTAATTTTCTCAGCACCTCAGTTTGCATTATATTTGGTCTTTTTCCTGTCATCTTTGGCGCTTTTGACTCAAGTAGCATGACCGCCGATCTTGTTATGTATGGTATTCATTCTAAGAACCCAATACATTCTCTTTTGCTCACCTGTTTAATTCAGCCCTTTGCTATGTCATTTTTATACTAATTCACATAACAATTCACCACCAAGCTATTCTCGTTTCTAGATTGTTGCATGAGTGCTAAACTATTTCTTTCTGAGGAAAAAAATGGTTTTTCAGTCCTCGTACATTTCATCAAAATAATAGTTGCACATTCATAATTTTGTAGAATCTCTCCAGTTATAATCTTTTGTTTTAGTTTCCTCTCTCCATCATTAATTTTTTCCCTAGAGAGGGTTAGTTCATGCATTTCATCAAAATAATTGTTGCACATTCACAAATTTATAGAATCTCTCCACTTTTATTCTTTTGTGTTATTTCCTCGTTGCATCATTTAAAATTTTCCTATAGAGGGTCCGACTTTATTGTTGATCGTCTTCTATTTCCCATTTTTATTTTATGTTATTTTTTTTATAGATTTTATTCTTTTGTGTTATTTATGTTCTTTTTTAGATTTTAGTTAACTTTGGAATGGGAACAGTAATCCTGATTTTCTTTACTAATCAAGAGAATATATTTCTTCCCCTTAAGTTCGATTTTTTAATTTTATATTAGAAGTCTAGAACAGTGGTAATTACGTGTCTTTTCTTGTTTGACATACCGCATGCAGGTACGTGGAGTTAGCTTTCCAGAGGTACCTGAACTTCCAAAATATCCTGAGAGGATATTGTTCTGTGGCTGGCGGCGTGATATTCATGATATGATTATGGTAACTTGCTTATTGTTCTGATCTATATACTATTATTTTCCAATATCCGTGTTGTTATATAATCTGCATACAAAGACACCAAGGGAATTTAGCACTGATGGAGCTTAAAAGGTGATGAAAGAAATTAAGAGATTGGAGTTTCTATTTCCTAGAAGATCCAGTCGCATCTTTCTTGATATGTGAACCGATGTTTAACTTTCAGGTTCTGGAGGCATTTCTCGCACCAGGTTCAGAACTGTGGATGTTTAACGAGGTTACAGAAAAAGAAAGAGAGACGAAATTGAATGATGGCGGACTTGATATTTCTGGATTGGAAAACATTAAACTTGTCCACCGCGAGGGAAATGCTGTCATTAGAAGGCACTTAGAAAGCCTTCCTTTGGAGACTTTTGATTCTGTAAGTTGTTATGTCCTCTCTCCGGACTCTCCCTTTTTTAGTTGCCATAACTCCAAGTACTTAATTTATGTGACCTGGCTCCAGTATTTAGTGTTACTGTTTCTTAAGCCTATTGTTTTAGTCACTTGCTCCGATCTTGAGTCAACTGATTACCAACTCTAAAGGACAGATTTTAATTCTTGCAGATGAGTCAATGGAGGACTCTGTAGTGCATTCGGACTCTGTAGTGCATTCGGACTCTAGATCTCTTGCCACCCTTCTCCTTATTCGAGACATACAGGCAAGTGTTTATGCTGTCTTTCGGATGATGCTAATGAACTAGCTGACCAAAATCCCTGATAACCTCGACTTCTTACCTCTTTTTATGCGAGTAGCACAAACTAGTTTTAATAAAATATGTACAAACGGGGATCTTTTAGCTTCTTGCCACCAGACTACCAAAACAGGGAATAATACGCAAAGCTGGGAATGTTAAAAGAGTATGAAATTAGTGATCAAGAGTTTTGGTTATCATCTTTATTGGGGCATAAACAATCGGTTGAGGTAGCATTAGGCTGCTTACATGTGTGATTCCCTACTCCTGACCATGACCGGTACAATTTGCTTCCTTTGTGGATTGCAGTCAAAACGTCTCCCCTACAAAGATACGAGATCGACTTCTTTACGGCCTGCTGGATTTTCTCACAGTTCCTGGATCCGTGAAATGCAGCAAGCTTCAGATAAATCAATAATCATTAGTGAAATTCTGGACTCTAGGACAAGGAACCTGGTTTCAGTTTCAAGAATCAGTGACTATGTGCTGTCAAATGAGCTTGTAAGTATGGCACTGGCACTGGTGGCCGAAGACAAGCAAATAAATCGTGTTTTTGAGGAGCTTTTTGCAGAGGAGGTAACTCTTGCACCCCTCTTTTTTGTGTTTGATGATATGGGATGTTTACGCAGAAGATCAAGTACTGTGTTGCATTCAAAATGAGAGCTGATATTTGCTGAGCCTTACTTTTGCAGGGGAATGAGATGTGTATCAAACCTGCAGAATTCTACTTATTTGACCAGGAAGAGCTATGCTTTTATGAAATATTGATTAGGGGTCACCAAAGAAAAGAAATTGTTATCGGCTATCGCCTCGCGAATTCCGAGCATGCAGTCATCAACCCTCCAAGGAAGTCGGAATTGAGAAAATGGTCTCTTGACGATGTTTTTGTTGTCATTGCGTCAGGTTCGTGAATGCAACGGAGAGGGTAACTTTCCTCTGCAATTGTGCTCCAACTGATCTTCCTCAATCCTTTATATATTCTCATTTGCATTTTCAACTGTAAGTAGAATTTTACTGAGAAAGATATATTCATGACACAAAGTTAGGTAGGAACCTTGATTCGCGGATTTAACCCGACAGTCATGTTCTGTTACGGTACCGATATTGTTGTCAAGAAAATGAGGGGTTTATTATTATTATTATTATTTTTAAATCGGAGCACTAGGTTTTCTTGCATTTTGATACACAATACGACACGGCAATGAACACCATTCACTGATTGATCGAACTATAAGAAAATGACAGTACCTCGTTTGTTCAAGACAAGACGGCTCTGGCCAATATGTAATCAATTAAGACATTTATTAATAACGCTGATAAATTAAGACGAGGTAAAAATGCATGTATGGCTCGTACAAAAACACCTTCTCCTCCAAAATTGCATGTCATCAAATTGAAATGTCCAACAAGTCGAGGACCAAATTGTCCATCATGAGAGCCGCCAGTGCGGAACAATTTGTGTCGTTGGTGGTGGAAAGAGGAAGAACCGGGAGGTTTTGGCAGTTGCAAATCTCGACCATGTAGCCATCAGGGTCATGGAAGATCAACTGCTCCACTTGAACCCCGCCTTCTTCCACCACCGCCGTCACGTACTCTATCCCCATCTCTTGCAGTTTTCTCATCACCTGCTTCATGTCGGAGCACTGGAATGATATAGGTGGTTGTCTTTGGGGTTTATCTTCTCTTTCTTTGTCGGCGCCACGCTTTCCGATTCCAGCAAATGTATCCCCATTCCATAGTTGAACAAATTTTTTTTATAAAAAAACCCCCCAAGAACATGCTCATTAAACTAAGAATAAAAATATATAAAAATTAAATCCGTAATTAAAAGATGGTAGAGAAAGCATACCAAGCTCCTTGAAAGTTGAAAGAAGAAGGGCGTTTGATGAGAACAAAGCCAAGAACATGCTCGTAAAACCTAACAGATCTGCTGACCGATTTACAAAATACAAACAAAAGAAACATGGTTCAAACACAACAAAGGCAGTGTTGTTTCTGAGTTTGAACAACACCTCTCTCCCACGCCTTCTCTCAATAGCTTATCACTTGAAACGTGGTTAAACTCATTCTATGAATACCCCTTTAATAGAGGCTTATAACCTCAGCGTGTCACAAAAAAGTTTAATTTTATCAAATGTCCTCAAATTATTTCTCAAATTATAAATCAATCCTATATGTCAACAAAATATTCTAATCAGCTGACGTGATAAATGCAAATTTAGATATGAGATGTAGGAAAATTTTCAATAAGTTGATCAAATGCCAAGTATATACGTGTTTATCACATGCATAATTTAAAATTAATAAACAAGTGTATTCAAATACATAAATTATTTATATAGTACATATATTTTCACCTTAAGCATGATATATAATTAAAATTGATATTAAATGTTGACTAATAATAACCGTCGTTTTGCTATCAAAATAATTCCGGCTTCTTAATAAATAGAAAGGAAAAGTAGTATAGAGAAGCAGGGTCGATCCACAAGGACTGTGGTGTTTCTGATTTAGTAAAATTTTTTCCTGATTTTAGAAGAATATAGAATTCTAGATGAAATTGAAAAGATAGAATAAAATAAAATAAAAAAGAAAATAATAAAATAATAAATAACGATTTAAAAATAGTAATAAAGATAAAAGATAGTTTTAAACTTAAAAAAAAGTATAATGAGATAAAAATTAAATAAACAAATAAAATAAATAAATTAGGATAAAGAAAACTTATGGTAAAAGCAGCCTCAGATTTCATCTTTGTCTCAAATTCATCGGATCATCGAAACAAATCTTTACTTCAAGATTCACGTCGATTACTACAAGAACAATTCCTCACTGCCGACTTGGATTATGTTGTTTCAATAATAACTAATTTCGATCTCCGTTTCCTCTTAGCAAACAATTTTGCTAAGTGTGTTCTCAAGAAGTTGAATGTGATTCAATAAGCCAATCCTTCTTCCAATGTTAACCATAACAATATCCAAACCAATGTTGAAAATCGTTTTGATTTGAAAAATAAGCCCATAAAACAAAGAGAAAAATCCGAAGCGATTTAAATGCCTTATAATTCTCACGTTTGGAATTGAGCATTCGCTTTAGCCTTCGGCTTAAAAGAAAATTAGCTAAGCATGACCAAAGTCATACTTAGCATATTTTGAAAACGAAATTTAAAAGAAAATAAAGGAATATGCGAAAAATAGGGAGAAAGCTAGAGAGAAAAAGAAGATTTAATTCTCAGATGAGAGAGATGTGTTTCTAGGCTTACCCTGAGATGGTATTTATAGCCTTCAAATTCCTAAATACAAGCTAAAGATAATTCCTAAAATAATATCTTAAATCCTTATTAAAACACTTAAAACTATTTATCTAAAATACCTAAAATAAAGATAAAATAAAATAATATTTAAAATAATATCCTAAATCCTAATTGAAATACTAAAACCTATTTAAACTAAAATACTTAAAAAAAGATAAAACATAATGTTTAAAATATTATCATAAAACTTGAGTTTAATCCTAATCTGAATTGCAGAAACATGCGACCAATCCATTCGTGCTTCTAGAAACGTTGACTGGTTCTTCTAGAAGGTGATAACGTCAAACCATGTCATGCCCAGAATCGTGCTTATGTCTCAAGCCGTGACTAAATAATAAAAAAATTGCAGAATGCGCTCGTTTTACTACTAATTCTGGAGAGTAAGACCCAGCATGAAAATAAGCATAACACAACGAAATCAACAATAATAAATCCATAAGATCAAAGAATTAACGAGCAAATATTACCGATTCAGAACACCCATCAAATTCCTCCTTACTTATTCAATGTTTGTCCTCAAGCATTCATCAATTAACATATCAAAATCATAAGTTACCATCTCCAATTTCAATTTATTTCCCAAACTTTCAATCGAACTAAGTCCATGACATTTGGCGAATTCAAGTTAAAAACAAGTAAAGACATAACTAAGAAAATTTAAAGTAAGCAAGATATCATAATTAATTACCAACTTCAATGAAACATGACTCAATACCTCACAAGGATTCACACATTTCTATTCAAAGTGTTTAGGGTAAGTGAAATCGCTCAAACCGAAACTAACCAAAATATTACCATAGGCTTGGAATCCAATCAAGTCTCCACTATGAAAAATGAACATAATGCAATAATCAAGGGGTCTTTAAATAAAGTGTAACAGGGCTTAGGTTAGGGTAGGGAAAAGGCAAAAAAGAAAGGTTTAAAATACAGAAACAAGAGATTGAAATAATTAAGAACAATCCATGAATTAACATGAAGCACAATAAAAAAAGGAAAAAGAATAGATGAAAGACAATTGAAACGATCGATTTTTCTTTATACTGTTGGAAACAATGAATAATTTGTTCTTTTTTTTCTTTTCGAAACATCAATTTTTTTTTTGTGGAACAAGAGTGATACAAGATCTCAAGTCTCGATAAGGGTGTAAAAAGAGAGGAAAATAAAAAGAAAGGCTTCGGTTTTAATTATGAGGTATAAAACAAAGAAAGGGAAATAGATTCAAATGTGGTTCACTAGTGGATATATAAATGAGTAGGCAGTCAAGTTCATCTCTATCGACAAAAGCATGAAATATCAATACTCAACAAAAATTCACCAGTTATACCAATCACCAATCATGCAAATTAAATTCGATCAAAACATTATCACAATCCAAAAGGAAGCAATAGTATAAAGTGAAGTTCAAGACTAGCAACCAACAATCCCAACACGTCAATATCAAAATAACTCAATTTCAAACAATCAAACAAGTCGAGGAAAAATTTGACGACATGCTTATCCTAGCCTCCCCCACTAAATCCGTTTTGTCCCAAAAATGTATATCGATTTAAAAAAAGAGAGGGAAAATGAATACTCCCCAATCTAGTGGAGACCGTGGCCACGACCATGTCGAGAAGATCCCGGGTGAAGGTAAGAAATATTCGATCGGAATTCAAATCTATTTAGAGAAAAATAAAATAAAATTATGCATATGATAAAATAAAATAAAATAAATGGAATGAAATAAATTTTGCTAAAAATAAAGCAAAATTAAAATGAAAAATGAAATGGGTTGCCTCCCATCAAGCGTTTTTGTTTAACATCGTTAGCTCGACGGCCTGATTCAGACTACAAGTTCTAAGAGAAATACTTCTTCCACTTCATAGGCTTTTTCCATTAAGAATTTCCTTATGGGAAATTCTATGATTGTATAATTCTTTTATTTTCTCCTTGTAGAATTTGACATTCTCATATGTTATTCTTCAGATCTTTTTTAGCTTTGACAGTTTATTCGAAATGACCTGTGAAGTAGCATTTTCTCCTAAAAAGGCACTCTTTAAGTTTTTCGGCATTTGTTTCAGTTCTATCTCAGTTGCCTGTAAAACAGAAGGCATAACATTAGAATTAGCAAGAATCAATTTTAGATTGACACAATCTAAAAATATTTTTTCAACTTCCTGATTTCCTTATCATGATCTTCTAACTCCCTGCATATATCAAAAGAAAAATTAGTTTCTGCAAACTCATTTTCCAAAGGATTAATAATACCAACATAATTTATGCTCGCCATTTTGTCTGGGTGTTTAATTTTCTTATATACATCAAATTTAAAGATCTCACAATCAAACTCCATGGTTAAAGTCCCACTTCTTACGTCAATCTTTGTGTGCACAGTACTTAGAAAAGGACGCCCCAATAGAATATCGGAAGAAGTCTTGGTGCGATCATTCTCCATCTCAATTACATAAAAATCAGAGGGAAATATTAAATCATTTACCTCCACCAGTACATTTATCAAGAGTCATTCTGGGTAAATGACTGATCTGTCAGCAAGCTGAATTGATATTTTTTTATCCTTCAAGGGCTCATTAGTAATCATATTGTAAATAGAGAGAGACA